AGTCAACAACCCTCCCCACCAACGTTGACTTCCTCCGGGAAATGGTGAGGGCTATTGTTAAGGAGGAGCTCCAGAAACTGCAACTCCCCCGAAGTCCTCCAGCGATGCCCTCAATCCCGGACGTTGTACGTGAAGAAGTGCGGCAAGCAATTATTCAACCGCAGCCTCAGGTGCCACACCACACGCAACCGGAACCTCAGCCACAGCTGTCGTACGCACAAGTCGTACGGCAAGACATGAGACGCCCGAGCTTTGCACAAGCTCCCGTTATGCCATCGACCTTTCCTCGCAGTACGCCCCCGTCGATGCCAGAAGCGAGACCCCGCAAAAGTGATGTATGGCGCACGGCAGACCGGCGGCCCCTCTGCTACCACTGTGGGGAGGCTGGCCATCTTTATCGGACATGCCACTACCGTCGGGTCAGGCTACGTGGCTTCCCAGTGAATGCACCCTGCCCTCGTAACGGTGAGCGCCCTTTCGAAATCGAAGAATATTTATCTTCGCGCTATGCATATCCAAACACTCCGTGACATGAATCGCGGTCGATTGCACCAATGCGCAATAGGTCGCCAAGTCCACATCCATCATCTACTTTCCCGAGGCGTCGTTCACAAAGCCCGCGACGAAAAAACGAGAACCAGCGACCTGCGGAGGCAGGGCCGCTGATTTTCGGAAAACTGAAAACCCTTCATCGCTAACCAGATCAGACGACGACACTGACACGACGACACTGACACAACGACGGACAAGCGCAGTAATGGTGACGTGACATCCGAGCTACAAGTCAGAATAGACGACGTCGAAACCATAGCGTTAATAGACACAGGTGCAGACTACTCAGTAATAAGTAAGACTACTCAGTAATAATGCTCGCAAAGAAGCTGAAGAAAGTGCTCACTCATTGGACTGGACCGCAGATACGCACCGCCGGCAGGCATTTAGTCAGCCCCGTAGGATTGTGCACAGCGAGTGGGAATAAGAGGATATGTGTACGTCTGCAGTTTTATTCTCCCTGAATGTTCCCGTGAGGCAATTCTGGGCATGGACTTTCTGCAAGCAAACAGTGCCATCATCGACTTGCAGAAATCCCAAATTTATTTCTCTACAGAGAACGCTGTTGCCGTGTGTCATGCGAAGCAACCAATTGTTTCGTCTCTTCGTATTGTGGATGAAGGTGTGATAGTGCCGCCACGAAGCAGCATGACAGCTTCTGTGAAAAGCGACGTTTTTCGTGAATATGCCGGACTAGCTGATGGAAATACCGAACTGCTGCTCACAAAGGGGATACGCGTGGCGAGAGTTCTAGTGAACCTGCGGAACGGATATACTGATGTGCTATTGACTAACTTTACCAACGAGGTACAGCATGTGGCGAAGGGAGCAGCCATAGCATCACTTCATGACTACGTACAAGTCTCAAATGTTTGCACCATAGAAAAACTACCTACAATGCCCTCAACAGTGGACAGTGTCCTCGAGAAAATAGATATTGACCGAGAGCTTTCATCTCTGCAGAAAGACCAGATTGTGGAGTTGATCAAGGAATTCGCAGAGTGTTTTTCTTCTTCTTCGAAAGTCGGACGTACGCCTGTAGCAAAGCACCGCATTGTAATCGAAGGGCATGTTAGACCAGTATGTCAGCATCCATACCGAGTAGCTCCAAAAGAAAGGGAGGCGATAAAGAAGCAAGTACGGGAGATGCTCGACGACGATGTCATACAGCCCTCCAAAAGCCCATGGGCATCGCCAGTAGTACTGGTGAAGAAGAAGGACAACACCATGCGGTTCTGTGTTGATTACAGAAAACGCAACCTTGTCACGAAGCGAGACGTATACCCACTCCCACGAGTCGACGATACGTTGGATAAACTGCGCAATGCTCACTTTTTTATCGTTGGATCTAAAGAGCGGTTACTGGCAAATAGAAGTCGACGAACGAGATCGGGAAAAGACGGCGTTTGTGACACCCGACGGACTCTACGAGTTCAAAGTACTCCCATTTGGTTTGTGTTCTGCTCCCGCTACCTTCTAGAGGATGATGGACACTGTGCTCTCCGGCCTCAAATGGCAGCCATGTCTTGTCTATCTTGATGACGTAGTAATTTTTTCCACTACGTTCGAGCAGCACGTACAGAGATTGAGAACGGTACTGGACGCTATTCGTATGGCTGCACTTACGATCAAACCCGAAAAGTGCCACTTTGTATTCCGGGAGCTTCGGTTCCTCGGGCACATTGTCAGTTCTCACGGTGTCCGCCCAGATCCGGATAAAATCACTGCGGTTGTAAATTTCCCAAGGCCAAGAGACAAAAAAGCTATGCGACATTTCCTGGGGCTTTGTGCCTACTATAGGCGCTTCGTTGCAAACTTCTCCAAGATTGCGGAACCACTGACACGGCTTACGAAGGAAGTTGTACCATTTATCTGGCACCAAGAGCAAGAAGACGCCTTCTCTGAGTTACGACGGCGTTTACAGTCACCTCCCATACTCGCTCATTTTGACGAAGATGCCAAAACAGACATTCATACGAACGCCAGAAACGTTGGCCTCGGTGCTATTCTTGTTTAATGGCAGAACGGGGAAGAAAAAGTTATTGCTTATGTAAGCCGCACTCTGTCGAAAGCCGAGTATAATTATTCAGCTACGAAAAAGGAATGTCTCGCAGTTATATGGGCCATCAGTAAGTTCCGTCCATATTTATACGGTAGACCATTCCGAGCCATCAGTGACCATCATTCATTGTGCTGGCTTGCGAACCTCAAGGATCCTTCCGGAAGACTTGCTAGATGGAGCCTGCATCTACAAGAATATGACATCACCGTAGTCTACAAGTCTGGCCACAAGCACAATGACACGGATTGCTTGTCACGAGCACCAATCCAGAACTCGTCTCCTGAGCATTAACAAGACTCCGCATTTCTTGGAGCTGTGAATGTGTCGGCGATGGCTCATGATCAACGAATGGACCCAGAATTACTTCTGCTCATTCAATACTTGGAGGGGCAGCAAGTCGAAGTACCGGGAGTTTTCGTCCGTGGACTGCGTTCCTACGTCCTCCGCAACAACATTCTCTACAAGAAAAACTTTCAACGCACCGGTGAAACGTTCCTACTGCTGATACCATCATCACTGCGAGCGGAAATTTTAGAAGCGTGTCATGATGACCCATCGGCAGGTCACTTGGGCATTAGTAGGACTTTGGCAAGAATCTGCTGGAGATATTACTGGCCAAAATTGATGGATTCAGTACAGCATTACGTAAGATCATGTCGAGAATGCCAAAGACGCAAAGTACCACCCCTAAAACCAGCAGGTCTTTTCAAACCGATAGAGCCACCGAAAGTCCCATTTGAGCAGGTCGGAATGGATTTGCTAGGACCATTTCCTATGTCATCATTTGGGAAGCGCTGGATAGTTGTAACAACCGACTACATGACCCGGTATGCCGAGACGTCATCTCGCACAAAAGGAACGGCAAATGAAGTGGCTCAGTTTTTTGTGACCCAGATAGTGCTGCGACATGGCGCACCTAAAGTTCTTATAACTGACAAAGGAACTGCGTTCACTGCCAGGCTAGTACAGTCTGTCATGAAACTAACGCACACCGACCACAGAAGAACTACTGCATACCATCCACAAACTAACGGGTTAACTGAAAGGCTGAACAGGACACTTACTGGCATGATCGCGATGTATGTGGACATCAAGCATCGGACTTGGGATACCATATTACCGTATGCTACATTTGCATACAATACCGCAGTACAAGAGACAACCCACTTCACGCCATTTCAACTTGTTTATGGTCGGACAGAAATAACGACATTAGACGCGATGCTGCCTGTCAACAGCATGAATGAAGAGGACCCTGACATAAGCGAATATGTAGAAAGGGCAGAAGAGGCGCGACAACTAGCACGGAACCGCATCATTCAACAGCAGAACGTCGACGCGCACCGCTACAATCTAAGACGAAGGGACGTTCAGTACTCCCCTGGAGACCAAGTGTGGGTCTGGACGCCTGTACGTGCACGTGGCCTATCAGAAAAGCTTATGCGGCGCTATTTTGGCCCTTACAGGGTTCTTCGTCAGCTAGGCCCATTAAACTACGTAGTGATCCCTGAAGGTCAAGTATACACAACACGACGCAGGAATCTCCCGGAAGTTGTACATGTAGTACATATGAAACCGTACTACGACAGAAACTGAACAAGTGAACTGACTCACGTCGTCTAACACAAGGACAAGTCCTATTGTTTAGAAACTGTCAGCCGGCTCTACGCATCGGGGCGATGCGTGCTAGGAGGGGGACTAATGCCACAGCTCGACCATCGCAGAAGACGCGTACCACGATTTGCGTTCGTAAAAGCCGTCAAGCAAGTAGCAAGAAAGCCGCGCCATGGAACGCCGTCCTGCACGCGCCACGATGTTACGCCATGGGACCGGCACGAGAGTCGAGGGGCAGAGGAAGAGACCGACGAAGTTGGAGTCAGCGAGCAGAGACATTTTTTTTGGATAACCATTTTTAGCTTTGAGTTTACGGGCACAAGTTCGCCCTAAATAAAGAGTTTATATAGTACCAGGTGCTATATTTATTCGTAACAATATATATATATATATATATATATATATATATATATATATATATATATATATATATATATATATATATAAGGGAGAAGTTTGAGTGCTGCATGCACTGCGTGCTTGATACCCCTGGCATATATGCTTGTTATTGTACTATCATTTTTTCCCCTTATAGCTTGATACCTGCTTGTAAGGTATCCCTGCTGCATTCATAACAATCACTGTTTTCCTGAATGTCTATGCCTATTGTAACACTTCTTTTTTTTCACTTTGAATAATGTGTGCTTTCTGTGTCCCCACTCTCCTCTATAATGCCCCCTGGGCCCTAGGGGTACCACAAGAAATAAACACTGTTTCCAAATTATGATTGATCGCACAATGTTATACCAAATGCTGTCTTCTGTACACTCACACTGCAGGCTCCAGTCTCTGGGTCACAGTCACTAGAGTGGCCATTGCAGAAGCAGGGCACACAGAGTCCCAAGTAAAGGCCGGCACCCGAACGCGTGTAGCCAGCATCACAATCCTCACACGAAAGGCCCTTGTAGCCAATGGGGCAACGGCAGTGCTCCACAGCGTTAGCCAGGGCTTGTCCAGTAGGATACTCGACGGCTATGTCAAGGGAGGCCTCCACAAGGCTGCACCAATCAAAGAGGTGCGCTTACCTCATGAATCTGTCCCAGCTGTGTTCATTATTCTACAAGGTAATAATCATCACAATGTTAATAACATCTAACAGACAATCAGCCAGGTATAGGAGATGTTATATAAGAAGTATTTTTAATGTGAACAAACAAAAGTGGACAAAAAGACGGTTGCATGGGCTGGGGCCAAACATGTAACAGTCTTTTTGTCCACTTGGCCCCTGCCTATGCTAAGTTATCTTTTAATCTACTTTTCTTTATTCAGATTACAATTACTTTTAATAACATTCCCTATACTTTCTTTTGCACAATTGTCTGTTAGATCTTATTAATTTCATGGCATGTCACATGTATATAAGCATGCGCACATGGGTGTTACACAGGTGCATGCCTCACTACCCATGATAGGCATTTAGCCCTGACCGTAGTCACGCACACAGCCTGCCTAAAGCCATTTGTGCTCAGTAAATTCCAAATTGACTTGTCACCAAGAGGGATTTGTCTGTCAGGGGAACAATGTTACATCTGGTTCAATTTTAAGAAACTGCTGCAGCGACAACAGAGCAGCGAAGAAGAGAATGACTAGGTGCAGTACTGGCACACACTTGCCGTACAGCCTCTGTAAATAAGCCTCCCTCAAACTTCGTTCATGTGCCCTGTAACAATATACAATAGTGTCGGGTCCCTCGACTTTCTCTTGTGAGACTGTGTTGACAGGTTACTCTAAGACTGACGAAGCTCAAGCATGCAGAAATCAGCAGGAAGTTACTGAGGTACAGAACCAGAAGCAAAAGTATCATTATCAAAGACATTAACAACCACCATTACTAACCTTCAGGTTTGAACACTGTTCCTAATAGGCACCAACTTTTGTTGGTGTAGTTTTTGTCTTGCCAATCCAATTAACTCAATGGTCATAGCTTGAATTGAAGCTGACTGTTTGTGCACAGCACGAAACCCCACAACAGGTGCAATCTTATGTCCTAATGATGACAAATGGTGGCGATAATGCATGCTGCATAGTCACCCTACCTTGCTTTCAAATGGGTTATTTGAATACAGCAGAGGAACATAGTTCATTTACCTGACTTTTGCCACAACTTTGTTGTTTCCTTGCACAACAAATGGCGAAAGTTCTCGGGAAGGGTATTCTAACAATCTGCTCAAACTTTGATGTCCCTTTAAGTGATATTGAAGCATCGGTAATGATTGCCCACAAAAGACAGAAAAGATGCATTGTAAGGACTACTTCATCATAGAAAACAAAAGTATGCACAAAATTTTAAACCAGGAAGAAATCTCCATAAATTTCAGTAATGACTGTTGGCAAGCTAATAGGCAATTCATACCTTTGAAAGAATTCAGAAACTTGTCCAGTGTTCTTCATGGCCTTTCTGTGCTATGTTCATGCTGTTATACTTACAAAGTTATCCATAAATTTACACTATCTCTTTTTTTTAATGCGGCTGAAATAAAACATAAAATTTACAGTTGATTCAGCACAGTTGCTTTAACAAAAAAACTTGCAACATTTGTCACAGGTATAGAAGGGTACCTCAGGCATGGGTGCTGAATTAACGCAGAATGAATGAAAAAGATGTTGTGGGGCTGTGTCTGAGCTGCCCTGTTGTCCTGCATTCCTGTGCACTGTGTGCAGTGTTAATCCAACCGCCGTTAACTTATTAAATACTCCCCGTTACAATTTAAAACTTTAATTGAGTATACGCGCACTACCCGACCTTTTAATTAGCACATGAGACAGGAAAATGTGTCCAAACTTACCTGGCAGTGTCTGTCTCTTCACTGAGTGTTGCTTTCACAAGTATGGAGCTCAAGTCGGCAAGCACCATAAGGAAGTGCTCTCTGGTTGCAGGCAAACCATCAGCTCTGATCCACGAGGTCTGAAAGCAGTTGAGCACTTATAATGCACTTACTAAATTCATTTCTGAGGAGGCTAATGTTCAAGAGGGACTGGAAAACTTGTTATAACAATCTTTGCTCGTTATTTAACATAAACTACACGGTTGATAAATCTTGTTCAAGTGCTAATGGCGTTATCACTTTGTAATACCGACTTTTATGTTTACATTGAATTGTCACCTTTACTTTATTCAATTTTTCATTCCTGCTTTGGCCTATTATTGTCTGCAGTGTTATGAAATAAATAAATTTACATGAGGTACCCTTGTTCTTAAATTTTTCACTTAACATGTCTTCTGTATAGCCCTGTTTTGTTATCAATCTCAAGTGCCTTCCTTGTAAAAATCAGGAGTCTTTGTCTTATTGGGAACATGATGGCAAACGAAGCCTTGTGTCTGTATGCGTGCCTTTTTATTGTATCATACAATGCTCCCTTCGAACTGTCCACTTTCTTTATGCTGAAATCTGGGTGCGCTTAGCACCACAACGGATCAGTTGCTATGATGGCCGTGCATTCATATCCAGGCAGCAATGAAGTAAGGAAATGTAAAATCATGAGTCACACTAATAAAAGATAAAGCTGTCATATCAAAAATGGCTGATCACCAACATGCCCACAATCAGGAGAGCATAACTGGTTGGAAAATAGTGCATGCAATTATGCATGTGTAATATTAGTATGTGGGCTTTTACATTCCAAAACCGTGACATGGTTATGAGAGACGCCCTAGAGGAGGACTCTAGAAATTTCGACCATCTAGTGTTCTTTACCATGCACTGACATCATACAGCGCGCAAGCCTTTAACATTTTGCCTTCATCGAAATGCGACCGTTGCGGCCCGAATCAAACCAGTGATATTTGGGTCAGCAGCCGAGCACCCTCGCCACTGATCTACTGAGGCGGTGGCAAACACACATGTGGCCAGTGCCCTGCAAGGGCCGCACTTATGTATGCTATTTCACTGGGTTTTTTTTGCTTAGGATGCCACCACCAAAACCTGAGAGTTCGGAAAACTTCGCTTGTTTGTCTGCCCACTCCTGTATGAGCCTTTTATGGCTTAAAGTATTCGTAAATGGATGCATAAACAAAAAAACTAGCTTAATAATATCACATTCTTGCATTATATTTCCTGTAAAGTCAGTTTATATGAACTGAAAATGTAACTCACCTCATACATTGGAATGGAAACTGTTTGTGGGAACCTTAGTTTCAGTCTCTCAGGATGCCTGTAGATAAGTATGATCTTGTTTCCCTGACAACGAAGGCAATATAGCATTGCATCAGGAATTGAAGTTTAAGGGAATGGCAATTCGCTGCATACTAGTAAGTGTCAAGCCACAAAAAACCTTACTGTGATCTGGACATCCGGACTTCTGCTTTGTCTGTCAGTACCATCACTCCTTATTGTGTAGTTTAACAGTCCTCCATACGATGTAACCTGTAGAATAGATGGCACAAAAATGCAACAGATCAAATGGTTACTATAGGTGGAAATCACTCAAGTGGCAGTGTGCAATTATTTTACAGATTTTCAGCATGAACTGCTGTAAAATTGCACCTGTCATTTCATATTCTATTCATATTCCATTTGATATTTACCAATTGAAGTTGTGGGACATTTTTTCTTTGCAAATATATAGAATATTACAATGCTTATTCATTTGCCAAGGAAAACAAAGAATTATAGATGTCAGGTTTCTTTATATTTCCATAGAATGTGTGCCGTAGTTGTGCTATGAGAGCAACAGTTTCTCAATAAACACACAAGGCACATGGCTCGCATTAATTTTCAATAATTGAGTGAGCAACTTTTTCTCAGGCAAAAAGATCATATACAAATTTTTAAACTTCATAATTTGACCAGTGATTCCATATATTTGTACTCCAGACAATGTACAGTGCCATAAGATCACACCTCAGCAAATACAAGTATGCATACTTGGTAACACGCTTTGGTAATACCATTGCCATACTGCTACAGATAATTCAATGCAAACAAACTCTGTACAAGCATAATATTTGGTGCTAATTAAAAACTTCAGAATATATTGTATATCTAACACAGTTTGTAAACTAACTTCACTGCATTTCCCATACACTACTTTTAAAACAACACCAATAATACTTATGACTGCACATGTTCCACGACAACAAAAGCCCTTGAAACAATGAGGCAACAAAGATGAGTGGTGCAGTAAGCTGCACCTTTAGTGCCTTTAAGGAAAAAATTTTATTTTCACGTATGTCTATTTGCATGAATAGCATAATTACTGACTTTGAGTAGTGATTGTATGCGTTCTCTCTTTTTTTCCCTTTGTATGACTGCACTGTAGTTTTTCTGGAGTATAGTTATGTTACAATAAAGACAGCAAATGCATCTACAGGTATAAGCATGCACTGAAGTGTCGAAAAAATTTTTGATGCTCCTAAAGCAATTTATCTGCCCGCGATCATCGTTTGTGAATTTACGAATTGAAATATTGGCACTGCAAACTAAGGGTATACAAAAAGAGGAGACAAACAAGCCCAGACTGAAACCGGTTTATACAAGAAAAACACGAAGGGGGAGCGAATACAACTGTGTTGTCCAGAAACAAAAATTCACAACCTGAAAGTGATATAGACAGTTAGCTAACACAACTATCGATATTATTTTTTATGAAAAAAGAACTTCGACGTCGAAACAGTTTGTTGTATTTGCCACAGCTTTAGCCACAGCTTGGGGCTAAAGTGCTGAACCTGTCTTGGATTGTAGCTAGTTCTTGTCTTGAAATCTAGCGAATTATTGGGTGCATGTTTCTTTTTGGTGTGTTTATATTTTTGCCAATTTATAAAATGTGTTTGCTGTGCTTCCTCAGAATTTCTCAATCTCATCCAATGCAGGTGCTCCCGAGATAATCGTGACATGCACACTTGTATTTGCCATGCATTTCAGCCTTCTTTGGAATGTCATCAGGCAGCATCAATTCAGCATCTTTTGCCTTCGTTCTCAAATCCATCGGTGTCTTGCTGTAGTTTCCTCCTCCAAAGCCTTCCCAACTTGTGTTTGAAAATCTAGTATACTCATGGATGGCATTTCAGCTGACGAAAGAACCAGAAGCACACATTGTTGGTCTAGTTGGGTCATGTTCATTCAGAAGTCACAGCTGTTTTGCGCAAAGAAATAACTACAACCATAGCTTCTGAATGACGAAGGAATGTTCCAATGGAAGACCCATCTTGTGACCACTGAAGCATTTCATGTATGTGGCTTGGCTAGAATTAAATTTTTGCAATGTTGAAACATTCTGACATCTACAATGCTCCAAGCTGGCATTAAAGGTTATCCTGGCAAGAACTTTTATTTTACCACCACCTAATACCTCAACAATGTCTTCATAGCAAGTTCTCACTTTTTACAGCAATTTTGTACCTCCGTCACAACTAATTCACATGGTTCAGATACATTCGCTGTCTGCAAGCATGGATGCCTAGGCTTGAGGGTGAGACACTTGGCTTATGTGAGTGGGGTTGTTTGAGTCCCATCAGTGTCAGCAATTTTTCTTTCAAATTTATTTTGGTTTATACCCTAATTTCTTTACAGTAACTCATATTATCGAATAGACGGACCAGTTTCCTTGTTCAGTCAGAATAAACATGCACACGTATTTAATAAATAAGGTATATTTACATAGTGATGATTTGACATTGCCGAGTGAAAAGATGCACAAGTGTCATGCACACACATTGCTTTTTTTTTTTAAATCTAAAGCTACAAAAGAAACGAGTATAACTGCTGAAGACCGAGACACGACAGAAGGAGTCAAGTATGACAAAACGAGAGTGGAAAGCATCATGCATGGGATGAAACTGGGGCCAGCAGTAGAAGTTAACCCATTACAGAGCCCAGATCTTTAAAGCTAGGCACTACGTCTACTACATAACTACTAAACAAAGAAAACTAAAGCTGTTTAATACCCACATCTTTTAAAATACTTTCTCATACAAGTTTACAATGCGGCAACTGTTGATGCTATCACTATGGTTCCAACAACATAGACATGTGCGTGTGGTCACCACAATGGTTGTATATATAGTATGTGGGGTTACAAATTATGTTTAAAAGTGTGTGGGTTCGAGCTTGTTGGTACGACTTCATCTTTGCAAAGATGAGTAGACAAATAAACACATAGAAAGGAGCGGTGAACTACCAACAAATGCGTTTATTTGTTCAAGCATGAATAAATACGCTTCTACACATGCAAGAAAGGGAACGGGATTGAAAAGACATGTGCTATACATAGCATCTATTTAATGGTGCAGATAGCTAATCTCCTTGTCTTATCTAGGGTCATAGATTTCTCGAGCTCAGGAATCTCTATAGATGCAAACAATGTGCGTCTGCTAGAAATGATGAAATGTGCAATTAACATTTATGAAATGTACAAGGAAGAATGCATACTTTATGGCAACTGCTAGAAACCACACATTTGTAGCATGCCTTTTTGCACTGCCAGTGACTCACCTTGTCACCCAAGAATCTCTGAGGGAGTTGCCAGTAGTAAGACTGACGAGGATGGGATGCAAAATCCTGATAAACCAGCTCCTTGCTCCGGGGATCCAGCTTCAATCCACGGTCAATTGTTGTAGCCCTGTCTAAAGTTGTCAGGTGGACACCCTCGGTGCTAGTCGAGAACCTTAACACCTCCTGAAAAACGGAGGTGGGGTGATGTGGCTTAGTCTTTTGCGCAGAGAATTTTTACCTCAGATGGCTACCTACTTGATCTATAAAAACACCAATTTTACAAGAAATCATTGAAGTGAAGAATGTCATTCTTTATCTTTGAAAATGCTTTGCTGTGTTCTAAAACCACTGTGCTTTATTTTCTTTTGCTTGACCATTGATCAATACATCGAAGTATTAACACTGCCACAAAGCTTATATGTGAGAGCGACAATGTTCAGAGCTTACAAGAGATTCATCTCAAAGAGAAAATACTGACACAAACATTTTCAAATTGGTAGTACACTCATACTTTGATATAACAAACCTAGATATAAAAAGTATCGATTATAATGAAGGAAATGAAGAATAGTCTTGCAATAGACATGGGTAGTATTAGAAATATATGTTTAAAACGATTTTTTTTATATGATTAACTTATTTTCATATAAGATGCAACTTTGCTATAATGACGTTTGAGTATACATAGAACTGTTTAGAGCATCATAATTACTCTTGAACAAACTTGATACTTAAGAAAAAAAGTGCACCTGTTCTCTATGGTAGAAGCTACTGGTACAGGACTTGGTGATGCCCATGCAAAAGCACTCCACACAGCCAAGAGGAGAACTTGGGTGCAGGTGGAAGGAGTTTGCCTTGCACTGGTCACATGAAGCTCCAGTCACCAGGGGCTAAGAAAAGACAAATGGAAGACACACAATGTCACTTTGCAATTTTTATTTTTTATTTGTACACCTACAGAAGACTAGTGAGGTAGAGTGTGTTAGGACAGACTTCAAAAATATTTATTAAAATTCATGCAAAGTATGTAAAAAACTTTTACTGTTCATCAATGTTGAAGCATTGTGGACCCTGAGGCACATATGACAATGCCAAGAGAGATTATCTACAGCGACAACACCGAAAGAACTTTCTCAAGCTATGTTACCAACGTGGAGTTGGCACAGGCATTGCTAAAGAAACAATATTGTTTTATTTAGTTGGTGCACTGACTATCACTAATGGTCTGTAATGCATTGGGTGAGAAAAAAAATTACGTGCGATGGGAGTGCCCAGTGAACAAACCGATACAGTTAAAACTCAATCTAACCAGGCAACATTTTCAGGTTTTTCCAATCTAATGGAAAATTTTTTATTCCTCGCAGGTACCGATAGGGTTCAATGCTGTAATGAACTCGAATTTACAATTCTGTCATGGCGCCGTACTTGATTCAACTAGGTTTTTGCAAATATAGTAAAAATGCAGTACTTAAAAAAAAGGTTTTTACACAGACTACTTTTTCCAGATGTGTGCTGTGAGGATGTCATGTTAGAACATCTAACCACTACTAATTTTAATTTAATGAAGCTGCCTGTGCAGTTGCTAATGCATGGCACTGAGCAGTATTGTCCCCTACAAGTACTACTCCCAGGGAGTACTTGCAGTGCTTTAATGCTTCGTGTGACAGATGGCACTGATAGACTCCTTGGAACTTTCTTGCTCACACATGAATAGCACTAGTTCTCATTAAATATCAGCAGCTTGTCACAGCATCATAAGACCGTCTACCTCAACTGTATTGCCCAGACATGCAAGGAATTCATGCTCAGTCTGCCCTTATGGACAATTTACATCCGCAACCATGTATTAGCGGCAAATAAAATGCTGTGGTAGTGTTCAAAGAGATACTACGTTAAAATTTTATATTTTGAAGCACAGAAAAACACTTCCCATGATGTTATGTACTTCCCAATTCAACTGAATTCGAGAGCCCCCATCAATTCATTAAATAGAATTTAAATTCTATCAGTTTTGTCAGAGGAAGGCACCAAGTGGTTGATACACAAAGCTTTGATAGGAATCTTGGGGCATACGTCGAGTCTGGACCAAAAAGTTGATGCTAAATATATACAGGCTGAAGGAGTAACAAAAACATACCTTGCACTGACACAGGCCGGTCGATGGACTTCGTTGTGGACTTAGGCTGCCAGCTGTATCACACTGTGGTGCACCTTGTGAAAACATAGTTCCCACCAATGTTAGCTAATCTTCAGCCTCACTTAAGATTAATCATGCAAACCGTCAATATATACATGCACATGCAGCTAAACTATCTGGTAGCAAAGCGACAATCTATATGTGTGGCTAGCAGCACCATTCACCTAAAACGATCACCATCACTCTATAAAGTGCATGCTATTAGAAAACAGTCGGCACATGGTTTTGAAATTTTATACAGATCCCCTACAATTCATTTCACATGGTAACATGTGCAACAGCATGCAAAACTGGAAAGGATGATGACACAGTGTAAAGTGCAGTGACTTCACCCTCTTTATTATGCTGACAATACCAGGTATACATAACTTGCACATGACATCAGTTCCCGTCTTCAGTTTGCCATTACTGGGCACATACGTCTCAGTTATCACATTGTGTTTGCGTTTGAGCGAGGAATTTGGTGCAGTGTGTGTGTTTTGATTATTTGCTCAGCGTGCATGATGAAGAAGAATCATTGAGAACATTAGACGCAAGTCAGCAGCGTTGACCAGCGAACTTGAATTATTCATGTCTGCAGTGCACGAGTCCGAGGCAATGCATGTAATGGGCGAAACAACTTCAACCATTGTAAACATTTGGAAACAACAATTGGAAACATAACTAGCCTGCTATGAAGTGACACCTGCCCAAATGTATGTTGTTCAGTCTTGAGGTTCTTCCTGTTTATGCGTGCACGAGCCATGTGCTCAACTTCTTGGACAGCTCTTTCGTGTGGTTTCACGTGTTCACCTTTCACAAACAGTGTGTCCCCTCTTTTTATTTTCATTTACACTTACTTCTTGTGCGGCAGTTAAATATCGCACAAATTACCAATTGCGACTTATTGAGTTGATGGGAAATGCGAGAGCTGCACAACTTGATTCTGTATCGTTTGCTGCCATGTGTGTGCTTGGTGATGGCAGTGCATATGCCAAGATTGTATCCCAGGGTCCGACAGTGTAATGAACTTGATATGCTTAATATAATGGACAGTGAAAATGAAATTAAGCTTCGTGCCCACAGACACCACAATGAAAGTAGATGGGACGCTTGTGAGATATGCTGAAATTGTCAGCAGAAAGATAAATGGTGCAGCCGTCCTGCTCTTGAAAAACTGCCGGTGGTTTGCATGCATAGCCACCATGGGTCTGGTCACTGATGGGCATTCACTGCAGGGCTTGGCACTCTTGGACAATGAATCTTATGAGACGTGAAGTTTTACATTGAGGCACAACGTTGTAGGCATCTACAGAGGCAGCGTTAATGAACGTCACACCGAGGTCGCTCGAAGGCAAAGGCTCCCAAACCCGAGGAGACTGGAAAGGAGCTGCTTCACAACAGTCAAACTGTTCATGCACTACTTGTCAGGAGGTGTTGGAACCAACACAGTGCCGGCAACATTTGTTACATTGGCCAAGAAGCCAAACTTCTGCTTAATACGCCGAATTTTAAAGTCCTCAGATGTGTGGCAGTGCAAATTGACAAAGTGCTTTGCACATAAATGCCAGTGAGAAAGGAAAAAAAAACAAAGCCAAAAGATGGAATAACTGGCACTAAATGCACAGGGTGATAACAACAAGGTCTTAATGCCCAATCTTCTGAAAACAGCTCTGCCTTGTTCAGTGTCAGCAATGGCATGCTGACAGAGCCCTCTTCCACAAGCGCAGGAAATTATTCTATGCAACGACTGTCTTTCTCTAACCCGCTAGGACTTTGTACATAGTACAAAGTCCTAGCGGGTTAGAGAAGCAATGAACAAAACAAAAAAAAAAGAGACAACAATGAAAGTGTGGTTCCAAGCACATGTGATGGAGCCAGCAGTGAACTTGAGGCCAGCAAATCAGCTGGTGGCCTGTGTTCCTCCATCAAGGTGGCGTGCCAAGATTGGGTCACGTGTGATGAACATGTGACAATGTGCTTGCTGGCTGGAGTTGAGCCAAAACAACGGCACACGAAAGACACAGGGCCAAAGCATCGGATGCTGGCATTCTAGGTTTCAGCCAGGGAACGCAGCTTTCCATGCTGCTGCCGGCCCGGTGTGGCCGGTATGCATACTGCATCTCGGTTTGGGGCCTGGCCTGTTGTTCCACTCCTTGCCAAGACATCGCAGATCTCGACAAGGTGTCACTGCGGTCAGCTGTTCAGCACAGCAATGAGCGTGGCTTGGCTAAGCCAATGGCCATGGTTGTGCCAAGCATCGCCTCTCAACACAAGCTGTTTGCTGTGTTGAGAATGGCCAGCCATTCAACACAAGCTGTTTGCTGTGTTGAATGGCTGGCCATTCCTTGCCCAGAAAATTGCGTCTCTGATGTGAGTTGATTGCTGTATAGTCACACTCATGCTGTAAAGTGTCATCGTTGCCAGTGTCGCACAGCGAGAATCACCTTTAACCACCTCCAGTCACTGCACCTCAGTGTTTGTTGAACCATACGTCGTACGGTGAGGCTCCGAAACTGTTTCTTGAAATCACGCGAATTATTAATGCAGCTTAGGCTCTGTGTTTTTATTGTACATTTGTGTGTAACTTTCTTTCCGTGTTGCCATTAATGCTGCCTGTTTCTAACTCATCTTAGAATGCATTTCTCTATGTACAGCACACGAAACAAGCATGACGAATATAGTTTTTCAAATTTTTTTTACAATTATCTGGCATCCACGACACGACTAAGCTCTTGTTATCTTTAAGAGCCTCGCCTTGTTTGTGTGCAGTGGCTGAGAGATGGACCTACTAAAGGTAGTGCTGTTCAGTGCAGGACTTGGTAAGAACATAGCAGAGGAATAAATAGCTATTTCTAAAAGCAGCTAAGTCAAGTCCCCACTAATTAAGACAAGAGCGTTGAGGGTGTTATGTAATCCTTAGGGCAGTGAGTGTTTGTACTCTGAAGACACATCGAGTCATGAATTGGTGGTAGATGAGCGCAATTACTCAGTAGATGAGTGCAAAATCTTAGGTAGACAAGTATATCATCAGCAGAATAAACACTTGGAAGTCAGCATTCTTAACACTCTGTCATCCTTTCCAGTTTTGTGCATTGTTACATTTGTTGCAACGAACCAACTAACCCAGCAGGCAACTGTTCTTCAAATAGTAATTTGATTTAAACTAGGCTTGTGCGAATAGTGAATTTTGGGCTCGAAGCGAATTCGAAGTGCATAGTGATTTTCGACAAATATTTTCGAATTGAATTTGAATAGTATGTATGACATATCAAGAAAAATGGGCATTCTTATCATCACCTAACTAACCTGCACAATATCTTTAGAAAATTGAAATAGGGCCTCTATGCAAATGCCATTTCTTTTTTCACTCAAAGGAAGTTGAAACAACTTTGAGTAGGAGCAGGACTTGGCTTTCAGTAGGATTCAAGTCATAACCCTTAAAATATATAACATATTAAAATTTATTATACTTAGATCATATAAGCCATCATAACAAGCTTTTAAGCTTAACAAAATTAATTGATTTGAGGGTTATATTTTTATTTAAAGGGGGCTTCCTGACTTTCACGTAGCCATGGAATGTATCCACTAAAGAAGCCTACTGCCTCATGAATTCACCGCCACAAAAATTTTTAGAGTCCGCCCAGTACACGCAGAGTTGCAAAGTTGCATGCATACATAAGATATCTTGCACACTGCAAGTGTAGTGTCTCTTCTCGTCCTGACGAAATCACTGGGCGCTAAGCTGGGAGAAATGGCACGGGGAAAAAAAAACTAGGTCATGCATGCTTTCTGAGCTTGTGGAGTAATTTGCCGAGAGAAGAAAGAAATCTCCGGCCGACTTTGAAAATTTATTGTGAATCGCACACCGCGTGCTGCGCTATAATATTGGGCTTGCATGTCCTCGGTAGCCTCGACTACTGATCGGCAGCATTTTCTGACAGTGCTTAAAAAGTGTTGCAGGGCCTTTTTAAATTTGTAGGGGCGCTTCGTGGCAGAGCATACTTCTTCAGAATAGGTGTTTTCATGGTTCAGCATAACTACACTGCAGTGAAACCACGTTTACAAGTGGTAATTTCGGATTTATATGCACCTATTCGTTCCTCGCGAACACTTCAAAATTTTCAATAACTTAAATTAGAATCGAAGCAAATTTAAATACGCTGCTATTTGTTCGAATATTCCAAGCATTCAAATATTTGCACAAGCCTAATTTACATTGATATGTGGGGTTTAACGTCCCAAAACCACCATATGATTATGAGAGACGCCGTAGTGAAGGGCTCCGGAAATTTAGGCCACCTGGGGTTCTTTAACGTGCACCCAAATCTGAGTACACGGGCCTACAACATTTCCGCCTCCATCGGAAATGGAGCCGCCGCAGCCGGGATTCGAACCCGCACCCTGCGGGTCAGCAGCCGAAAGCCTAATTTACACTAACTTCAGATACGAAATCTTGGCACTGCAAGACACATTTAAAGGATGTGACCTATACAATGTAAACATGGTAAGATAGATGCTTGGGCTAGTTGTTGATTGGGAATCAACATATTTGCACAGCGCAAGACTACGAGTAGTTACGACTAACTACAGAAGAAGAGACAAGGACAGAAAGAGCGCCACGAATAAAATTTCAATTGAAGTCGGCGCTCTTTCTGTCCTTGTCTCTTCTTCTATAGTTACATCGTAAGTACTCGTAGTCTTGCGCTGCGAAAATATGTAAACATGGTGTTGACCTTCACTGACAGAAAGAGCACTTTCAGTTGGTAACTATCATACATATTACTATCAAGTAGAACACTCGCTAATAGTGACGAAAATTACATAGCCAGAATGTACTACATTGACTCAAAAGTACAATAACTAGCACAATCAGTATATTACATATGGAAATCATGCATTAGACTCGGGCACAAGCTAAATGAATGAAAATGCTGACTCAGAACCTCGGGGGTACAGGAATCAAGTATAACTGGAAAATTCTCATTCAGTCGTAAAATGCAGACTGAAGCAATATGCCATCGAACAAGGA